TAATGGAAAGAAAATATATAATTATATGAATTTTGCCAAAAATAAAAAATTATAATTGACTAATTTATACAAATGCATGTGCTATCTGATTTATTTCTAATTTATGAATTCTTTTTTAAAATGAAAAAAAAATGAGAATTTGAAAGACTAAAAGATGAAACTTTTCTCCAAATTAAAGGAGTTTATGACAAAGTGACGAGTCTTGATTGTTGGTTCGACTCGGATCAAATGTTATTTGTCACGCTTAATTCTAAGTCTGACTCTTTCTACTTCAACTATCACTTTTAAATTTTTCGTTACGCTTTGAATACACGACAAATAATTTATTAATATATGTTCTACATCACTTTTCTTAAAATTGAGAACCTTTCGGATCACATATATTTTGAACTCGTAATTATAATGTAAAGTCAAGATACACACAACCACTTATCAAACGCATCGAGTCTTCCAAGATTCTCTCATAAAACTCAATTTTTTTTTTAGGTCATTCATAATACTCAAACATGAAACATGAAATAGTATTACTCGTATATAAATTTTTTTTTATCCCAGTTACCTCAACGGATTTTAATAATAGACGTTTGAGGGTGAAGATGGCGGGTATGGTTGTGTTGAAGATAAATTGATATGATAGGACATGAGAAGACGATTATGAAATCTTATTCATCGATTATAGTGTTTATTATATGTTAATCAATTTTTAATTATTTCACTATGTTTTCCTCTTTAATTTTAGTTTAACAGTTTTATTGTACTAATATCTCGGTCATAATACATATGAGTGGAGGAAGTAATCTGCGAGCTGGAGGGAGGGAGAAAGACATGTTTTTAGTATCCCCAATACTCAAAGCTTAAATACATGGTATGAAGGGTATTGTTTTCCTTTAAATAACTACATTTTGGAACGAAATATCATTTTTTTATGCTCAATCGTCTATTTAGAGTATGATCTGTTTATTTGGACGAAAAAGGTATCGAGAACAAATAAATCTAAAAACGTGAAACGTCTATTATAAAAACACAAGTGAGTAAAGTGCAACTGTTTCAAAACCACACGAGGGTAAAAAAAAAATTTTCCTATTATTTTTATAGAAAATGAATTTGGTCAAGTAAATTGCATATTATTCTGGTTATATGGATTGCCTATTGCCTCGGGCAAGGCCTTGTTATGCTCGAATGTGGAAACAACTTAGTAGGTTTGGGGTTCAACTTAGTAAGTATGACACGCACAAATTGAAACGAGTGAGTGAGATGCATCCTATTGTCACTAAATCATCCAGTTTCTTTCACAACTATTTGTTTTTATGAGTAATATTATTGAGAGAACTTAATTATTGTAATTATTAAATTGTTAGTGAGTTTTATCATTGAATACACTCTCCATTATTAATCTAATGGTCACAATCCATTAAGTTTCCAAATTATATCTCAATAAATTTAAAAAGCACAAACACAAATATGAAATATAGATACGATACAATAAAACTTGAAACAATAGGATTCACCAGGTATGACTATGATATGTTTATAATAAAATATATTATATAATTTTTTACTATTATTTAACGACTTAAAAATTATAATTTTTAATAGTTACTTCACAATAGTAAGCAAAATTATACAATTTTTACTTTGAAAAATGGGTAATATCGTGTCATTATGATCCATAAAGTGAACATGATCGATCAAAAGAATCAAAACCAATATTTAACTAATTGGTTTGTTTACAAGTATTATTTTCTAAAATTATAGTGTAATTAATTCATTTTTTTTCATACTTTTTTGATATTTAATAATAGAAAATATTTAAAAAATACTCGTGCCTCCACAATCAAATGGAATTTTGTTGATATATTCTATTATATGTGAAATCAAAATGAGAGGGTATAAATTAAAATTAAGAATTACACATCTTGCTCCATGTATAGAAATATATTCAAAATATTTACATATTTTATTAATTATTAAATGCGTACATTATGTATCTGATACATATCGTTGAGTATCCAATAAATATTATATCCGATACGATATCTGATTCGGATATGTCGACCTTAACGAAATATCCGTACTTAATTGCCAATAACATAAGTGTATTTTTAGAGGTTTTTTAAAATCAAACCACTTTCTACAACTTATTTAGCTTTAAGTATAAACTTAAAATTTTTTTGATAAAAAACACTTTAGAGCATAAGAACCGAAATACTTCTAACATCTCAGTTACTATTGAAAAAACTACATAAAAAATCGATTAATTTAAAAACTTAAACTCTTAAATTTTATATTTTTTTATATTATATGTAATAAAATAGCTTATAATTCAAATTTCAAAAGATAAACAAAATGACTTTTGTTATTCGCGGTTGAGATCGCTTTAAATTTTACTTTAAAGTTAATCTAACGACTAATATTAACACCCTAAATTTAATATTAACACTACTGCTATCGTCATTGTCGCTGTCGCCACTATCGCCGCCACTATCAACGACGTCGCTGCCACCACCACTACGGACATTATCATCCATCACAACCATAATTGTCTCCTATCACAACTATTGTTGCCCACCACCTCTTACCCCCACTATAAATTGATGCTTCAATTTCTTTATCTCTTTTTTATGTTTGTGATTTAATTTTAAATATGAATACAAATATATTTATTATTTATTATTTTGTGCCTTTAAACACAAACAATAACTAGTTTTCTTATATTAAAACAGTTCTATCTCTCTGTCTCATATATAAAGTCCTCTGCGCCGCAATAACTAGTTTTCTTATATTAAAAAACTTCTATCTCTCTGTCTCATATATAAAGTCCTCTGGGCCGCAATGCAAGTGCTGATCCAAAAGTCAGCCATGGGTCAATCTAGCCTGTGCTGGCAATTAGCCCGATGAGTAGGATCATGGACCTTTTTTGCAAGATGAATAGACCTGACGCAAGAGGATGGCCCAGTTCATAGGTAACTGAAACTAAAAAATTAAGAAAATATGTCAAATTTGAAAAAACATAATTAAAATTTTTTGTCACTGTATTAACTAATTGAAGGACGCGTGAATTATTTTTATATTTAAAACTATATACATGAGTACATTGAAAAAATATACTATAATAGTGTTAGTCATTGCCTTAATTTTTTTTAAATATTATCTATGTATATTTAAAATTATTATAAATATATTTAAGTGTATCCATTCTATTATTTTTTATTCTATCAATTAGTATAGTCATATAATTAAATAATTATGAATTTTTGGACACATTTTGAACACTTTTTATGAATACATCTAGATAAATTTTTGACATGTCAAAATCATTTTTAAAATTATAGATATTATGAAAACTAGGTTAAATAACACAATGAGTAATTAATAACTAATAGCTTGATTAGTTATATAGAAAAATACTATAATATTTTTTATAGAGTTAGTCACATTTGTTATAAAGGATTGTAATTAGTCTTTTTTTTTATTTGTATACACTATATTTATAGGTGTTTTTGATAATTTTTATATTTTTTTGAATCTTTAATTATCAAATAAAATGTCATAAATTTAAATATATTATTTTATTTTTATTGATCAGTGGAAAAAATTTAAAGTTTGTTAGTGAAATGTGCAACCTAAACAGAATTTTTGGCTTCGTTGCTACCAAAACTACGTGGCAGAATTTTATTGGGTATACACATCACATGGCCTTGGTCACGTGGTGTGTGCAACTCGTGCAAAAATTTCTCGCAGGTACAGAAGAAACCTGAACGAACGCTCCGAAAAAGAATAGAGAGAGAAAGCTACAGACAGACAGAGAGGGGGGGGAAGAACATGAACAGAAAAAACCTCAAAATCCTCGTCTCTCTCTTCGCACTCAACTCAATCTCTCTCTACCTCTACTTCTCTTCTCACCCCGACCACTTCCGTCACAAATCTCGATCGGAAAACTACCACTCGTTGACGCAAAACCACTCCTCCCACTTCCAGTTTTCCGTTACCTCACACGTCAAGCCATGGCCAATCTTACCTTCATATCTTCCCTGGTCCCAAAACCTCAACGTCCCCTTCAGATCATGCGAAGGTTATTTCGGAAACGGCTTCACTCGCCGCATCGATGTTCTTAAATCCACTTCGCCGGAGATGCGCCGGAAATATGGCTCCTCCGCCGTCCATGGACGATCCGGTGGTGGAGGATGGTTTAGGTGTTTGTATAGTGAGACGTTGCGGAGTTCGATATGTGAAGGAGGTAGAATTCGGATGAATCTGGAGAAGATTCGGATGTCGAAAGGAGGAGAGAGATTGGAGACGGTGATCGGGAGAGGAGAGGATGAGGAATTGCCGGAGTTTGAATTTGGAGCTTTCGATGTTGAAGTTCTTGATAGATCCAGTCGCGGAAAGAAGCTTGCGAGTGGAGAATTCCTTGATCAGTATGTGCAAAATGGTGCGATTGAGAGGCACACTATGCGTGGGTTAATCGATTCGATTCGGCTAGTTGGCGCCAGTGAGTTTCAATGCTCGGAGGTTAGGTTTGCTTTGATTGTGTAAAGTTGTGAACTTTTTGATTTTGTGTTGACTTGGTGTTTAATTTAATGCTTTCTTATGATTAGGGTTTAGGGATATGGAATGCATTAATTTCTTATCATTGGGGGAGCAATTAATGGAAATATGATTGCTTTTAATGAAGTGAATGGTCGTAGTACTTTTATGGAAGGAAAGGTGATGTCCTGATATGGGGAGTGTTTTGGATTGATTTGATGAAATTAATCCTGAATCTATGGAATTTAATACAAGTGGCTTCTAGTGGTCACCTATTAGAATCTGTGGTGGTTATGGCCAAACAAATTATATAGTTTGGATATGATAATCTGTTAGTCAATATTGTTTGGCACTTCTTAATTTATGAACCCGATTATGGTGGAGAATTTGGCTGCTATTGATGCTTGCATGGAATTAAACTCTTCCCTTTTATGGTCCTGGATAAAGTGGTGCAGATTTAAGAGTATATGCATGGAAAGATTTTGACAACTAGAGACCCCAGTTATAAGTTCCGATTCTTAAGGTAGTTTCAAAATAATAAATGTTGATGTCCTGATAGGGAAACTATTCAGTTAAATGGTATCATAGAAGGCAGTTATCGTAGAAATCAATCAATTGTCAATTATGATATAAGAGGGATTGGCATACATGTTGTAGTGATGCTGTCCTTATTACAAAATTTTCTGTCGCAATGGATAGATTGGAGTCCCTATGATTAGATTCATTGAAGTGAGCTAAACTGCAAGTTAAGGGGCCTTCATGAGCAAGTTGATTGACCTCCCAGGATTTGGATGAGTAAATGGATTATCTTTCTTCCCAAGCTTAGTGATGGAATTACAACCTTGATTTGAGAATTATTAGTGGGGTTGGGATAGTGGTTTGTAATTGTGGAAGTGATGATGAACCTTCTGCACTTCCACAGGAAGAAGGAAAAAACTGTGACTTATCTAACTTGAAGCATATTGTAAATGCATAAAAATTTTTTTAGTGAGAAATCAAGCAATGAATGCCAGTAATACATATGAAGGATCTTACTAAAATTCCTCGAGAATGAAATAAGTGATCAGCAAACATGCAGGGACACAAACAGTGATCTGGGATTTTATTACTGGTTATAGTGTAACGAGCAGATTTCATTGTGTTTTAATATTCACAGAATATGACTCTTTTTTAATGTAGTGTCTGGGAGGGTTTTTGTTTCGCATCAATCATGTCACTCTTGAATCAACTCTTTCGGATGATCATCAGGACCATTGTGTTGGGAAATGAGCTATGCATGTCCTTTCTCATTGCATGCATCTCTTCTGATTATGATATTTATGATTTTCTCTTATATTGTTTACTCATAAAAATTAGGGAAATAAAAAATCTCTTTTTACTGCCCTTTGCATTTCTGACAAACACCTCTCATTACAGTGGGTCGAGGAGCCAACACTTTTAATTACACGCTATGAGTATGCGAACCTTTTTCACACGGTTACTGATTGGTACAGTGCATACGTGGCTTCTAGAGTTACTGGCTTGCCTAATCGGCCTCGTTTGGTTTTTGTAGATGGTCATTGTGAGGTAAGTGTGTTCAGATTTTTCATTTTAAAGCCTGGCCTTATCTCAACTATTGATAAAAATATTTGAATCGTCATTTGGTGATGCGGGCATCCTGTTTTCTTTTCTGATTTGGGTTTAGTAGGTGATGTACAATTCATGCTTAAGTGACCCTTGCTGCTGCAGTAATGCATTGAACATGCTTGATGCTTGACTTGCACCATCTTCTTCCTCGTCCGCTCATTTCAATTTTTATGTTCACTCTTACTGAGTTATGGTTGATAAAAAATTGCTATTGATATGTCAAAGAAAATCATGTCATTCTTAGTGTTCAAGGGAACCTGAACTTAGATTCTAAAATTTAATATGTCAACATTTTGTAATGATCGTGATTGCTTAGACATTCCAATATGCTGCCATCCAATGTAGTTATTTATGGATTTTTTTTAAAGCTATTACACACAATGCAAAATGCATTTCCTTTTATAGGTTCCTTGTTAGGTCAATTGGAACATTAGTTCCTTCTGCATTGAAGTTACCATTGGTGATCTATCTTATCTTTCTGTGGCAAAAAATTTCAGACGCCTTTGGAAGAAACATGGAAGGCATTGTTTTCGAGCCTCACATATGCTAAAAACTTCAGCGGTTCAGTATGCTTTCGCCACGCCATCCTCTCACCTTTAGGATATGAAACTCCTCTATTTAAGGGTCTGTCTGAAAACATAAATTGTCATGGAGCATTTGCACATGACTTGTGGCAAAACCCTGATGATCAGAAAACTGCACGACTGTCGGAGTTTGGAGAGATGATTAGAGCAGCTTTTGGGTTTCCTGTAAATCGGCACCGTACCCCAAAACTGGTCTCAGGACACAATGTCCTATTTGTTCGACGCGAGGATTATTTAGCTCATCCACGACATGGTGGTCAGGTCCAATCAAGGCTTAGCAATGAACAACAAGTGTTTGATTCTATAAAGAGCTGGGCATCAAGTCATTTGGAATGCAAAGTGAATGTTATTAATGGACTATTTGCACACATGCCCATGAAAGAGCAGGTTCGAGCCATTCAAGATGCTTCCGTCATTGTTGGAGCCCATGGGGCTGGTCTCACTCACATAGTTTCTGCCACAGCAAAAACAGTGGTTCTTGAGATCATTAGCAGCGAATACAGACGCCCGCACTTTGCATTGATTGCTCAGTGGAAAGGGTTGGAGTATCATGCCATAAATTTGGATGGCTCTTATGCTAATCCACCCATGGTTATCAACAAGCTTAGCAGCATCTTAAAGAGTCTTGGGTGCTGAAATTATTGAATGTTGGGTTTTCCTCGTTTACTCCTGATTGCTGGAAATTAGAAAGATGACTGGTTATCGTCCCAAAGTACCTATGGGAACATGTTCAAGCTTTAAATCCCATGGTTAACCTGTGACTGCTGTTTTTCACATTTTTGTTAGATTCAAATTGAGGTTCGAGCAAGGGACTAATTTTCAGAGTTTAGGCTATTGATAGTTAGTCAAGGGATGGCGGATTAAGGCAGTTGCACTCGTTAATATAGAGCTCGGTCACGAGGGATTGGCAGCAAAAGAGATAGGCAATGATGTAGTTCTGGGAGTAGATTTCAAGTGATTGGTGGATAGATGAAGACATTGTGGTTGTTTAGTGCTTGACAGTATTTCTGCTACAGTTTTTGTGAACTTTTGTGACATTCAGGGTTGACTGGACACAGGTCTCTTGATTTTGCTCACCAACTGGTAATTTCTCCTCTTACACGAACTGTATACCCGTTGACAATACACATTCTTTATTTGCAGAGGCTACTCTTTAGAATATAGCAGAGTTGATCTGTCCATTTATTCAAAATTTCAAAGGAAAATGAATCTACATCCTCCAGTAAATGCAACTCAACAAACTCTTCAAATTCTTTTTTGGCTCTCTCTATTGATGTTTTCAATATAGTAAATCCTTTAATGTCCCTTTTTTGGTCTTCCGTAAACCTGCTTCAAAATCATTTTTTTTTTTTTGGTTTTCTTTTCCCTCCTTTGCTTTTGAAAGATTTGAGAGAGTGAGAGAGAGAGAGGATTGGCCCGTTGGTCACATATTGTTTGTTCTTGAGGCTCTGATTAATGGGATTGGTTTTCTTTTAATTGAATATCTGTATTTTTCTTTTTCCATGATGTATGTCTAGATACGCCCGATGTTAAAATGTCAGAGAAATGAAAGTACAAGGGGTCCCTGCTATTCCTCTTGTCTCTATCAAGTGGTAGCGCAATTCTTAGATTGTATCTCTCTGATACTGAATGTTACTCCGCACAAATGCTGCAAATCACACAACAAAACTATGATATGGAGCGTGGCTAGACCATGCACAATGGTCAAGGATGATGCTTCCGCTGTGGCGTTGGCAATGGACAATGGACAATGGACTGGCTGCTAGCCAAGAGATGCAGGTTGTCACAGTTAACCAGGACCATCATGGAGCTGCGTGATTTCTCTGTCAGCCTTTTTGTTTCGCTTCTCCTTTTGTTTAAGGTTGATTATAATTAGACCAAAATGAGCCTAAACAGAGATGAGATATCCTGGTCGGATTTCTATATGCACCATTAAGACCTCAAAGTAGATAAGTTTTGACATTGTAGCATCATATGTTGGAAGATCAAGTACTACCCACAGCACATATAAGGACAGACCGCAAATGTTACTAGCAAGAGAGGGATCCCCGATAGGCGATAATATTACACACCTCGCACGATATAGTGATCTTTTTAAGAACATATCCTTCACAAGGTCAGTGTAAGTTGAACTTCTATCACGTTAAACAATAGAAATTTATTTATACTGTCCCTTCTTCACCATTGGCACTCAACCACAAATGACCCATCAGACAAACTAATCCATCTCAACATGGGAAATCAGCTAAGGCCAGTGACACCCAAATTTCCAGACAATAGTGCACACAAATATAAATGGAGCTAAGTTTGTCTCATCAACCATAAAACACATTGATAAACACAAAGTGATGCTAAGAGTCTCAAACACTTGAACCAATCTTTAGTTCCATGCCTTTCTAATAGGAGTTTCAACAGGCCCACTGGCCCGTGGGGGTTAAGTAATTCTAATTTCAAACACACTAAGTTTAGGTAACAAAATTTAAGCAGTACCACTGGCACCCTTTCCTTTCTTCCTCTGGAGTTTCTTCATATAGAACTCCAACTCTTTGCCCTCCAAAATATATCTGTCAAAATAAAGTTGTGAACCAGATTAAGTTATAGAATAAACAGCCAACATACATAACGAATAAAAGTATATTATTGCTGAATGAAAATCATTATTCAAAAGGTTTCAACACAAACAGGAAGAGTTGAAATCACAAAACATAAGGTTCTACCATCCAGCTTCAAAGCTGATTAAAATCAAAATATAGCAATGGGAATCAACCAAACGGTGAACAGAATATATAATCCGCAAAAGGATAAGCATACCCATAACATCCCTCTTGCAGCCAGAGGCAAGCTAATAATACCATGTACTAAGGTTTATCAATAGCTCAACAAATAATAATAAGAATAATAATAAGTCTAGTAGAAAAAAAGTATGAAGATGACTAGAGAAGACGTAGGAAATTGGACAATACAGGGACGGCACATAAACATTTATGTCAAACATACCCTTCAGAAAGTCTTATCCTGACTGTAATGATGGTGCATACATTGTCCGTCCTTATTGAAAACTAGAGTGCTAACAAGCAATCAAATTAAAGTGTTAACGCACACTATATTAGAATCTCAGTAAATTAATCTTTTGTTGTGTTAATTACGTTAATGGTATAGGATTGCCACAAGAATCAACATATATTTTTGCAACCCATAAGAAACCCCAGAACAGTAACAGAAAACATACCCATCTGCACGACCACACTGGCCAGGTCGTGAAGAGATTGCAGCTAGCAAGCGGCCACTACCAAATTGCTCTTCAACATGTGGGCCAAGCTTGCGATCCTGTTGACGTTTCTCCAGTTTTCGCAAGACGTGATTGCTCTTCTTTGTCTCCTCAGCAGCAGCTTCACCCTCCTATGAACCAAACAGACAGCAACCAGTAAAGATGTAGAAGATCTATCACTGACAGTTGTTAGATAACAAAAACAAAAAATATATAATACACATACAACTGGAATTTCATATGCTTCATTGTTATTATTTTAATCCATACACAAGGTTTTTTTAGTAATTATTTGATATTTGAGGATGAATTACATATGTTGACAATTCAGTGCTGCTTCGTGTCTACATTAGGTTCCACATTGCCATTAACTAAATGGTTGTCACATGAATTAGCATTAGCGATGATGACAGACTGAAGGAACATGGCTACAAGATGGAGTGACCATAAATTAGCAATCAACTATGACATATTCTATTTTTCTCTTCTTTTTAACAGAGATGTTAGGAAGGGCCACTAGGTACAAACCTAATCTCCAACATTATTTGCATAAAGGTAGCTACTCTCATATTCAAACCAATGTTACCTGGATTGTGGGTCGTTGTGGTACGTGTACGGGTACATGATACGACACTTTCTTAGATAAGCTGTACGATGACAGTAGATTTAGTTGGTACAGTATTTTGGGTCGCAATTCGTTTTACAAATCTTATATAATTCGTTTTCATTACTATACAACATTATATATTATAGAACATTCATAAACACTAAGTTAGTTACCATTTATCTTATAATTGTGCTTGACTTTCTATTATCTAAAACAATATATAATTATAAATTTATATATATGTAATCAATTAATATGTATTTTATATTGGTACTATATGTTCTAAAGCGAATTGATTTAGGGTTAGTATTACAATTTGGGGTCATCCATTTTGGTGATTTGGATTGCGAACCTACCTCGTTGGGAATCGATGTACTCAAATTGTGCGTTGTTAAGGGTTTAGTGAATTGTGGTAACCATGATTCAAACCCCTAATCTCATTTTCCTAACCACAGTGGGTTGGGTGGTGGTTCACATGTGAAGACAGTCAAATTGTGCAAGTCACGGTAAAGAATAGGTAAATAACAGGCAGGCACTGGTGCCTGGCTAATGGCATTTGTCCTTTATAGCTTGACCATTTCCAAAAGTTACAATTGTGAGAGATAAAAAAGGATTTCAAGCTAATGAAAAAATAACTAATGTTGTTCATATTGAAGAGTTCAATGGGTTTTGCCTCCTCTAGTTCTCATCTAAAAAATAATCAAGTCAGTGGCACAGATATACAGCTCTTTTAAGAAGAGTTGCAAAAAATCCGTGGCAGAGGACGGTGAATCATTAATTTTACACAATGTTTTGGTGCCTTAGGCTATAACCATGGGGCGTCCAGCAACGCCAAAAGACTGCATTCATATTCAACAAATATAAAAAGGAATTATTTCTACAGTGCTACAACAATAGCATAATATGCAATCACTCCTTTGAATCACCACAATGTCACGAAACTCAGAATATACATAATAAAAGAAAATTGTAAGTAGTCAAATGCAACTACGACTCCAATTGATCATAGCTACTTAATAATACAGAAGGGAAAATAAACTGATCAGAAATTGAACCAAAACGATCCAATAAATTTCTAATTACATATAGCATAGCATAATTTATTAAATACTACATAAAATTCATAGTGACAATATTCAAATGAAACCACAAAAATGCAATCCCAACAACAATCCAGCACAAACTATCAAAAAAATTCTTGTACCTCTCCTTCTTTTTTGGATGAAGCAACACTTTTCTTCTTGCGACCAATGTCAACTCCATAGTGCTGAAGATACCACTGCTTAAATGGTGCAGCATCAACCTGAACAATTGCACTTTTCACCAAGGTCTGGGTCCTCACCAACTCATTGTTTGATGCATTATAGACCACATCCAAAATTCGAGTCTTCCGGGTCACAGCCTCACTCCCCCAAGAATAGTTCCCCGTATCCAACCTTAAGGCACGCCACTTTATGTTCCCACCACGAACTCTAATCCTTCGAACGGTCTTCTGGCTCGACAACTTGGTATTTGCTGGTTGTCTTCCAAGCTCATACCTTCAAAGACAAAAATAACACATTACACCAGTTATGCAAGCTAGATCTAACTTGATTTAGGTTTTCCCCGTGATTGTTTTATACCCAAGTTGCACATTCTGAACGGCGGAAGGGCCAGATAGACTACATAAACTAAAACTGATAATAGTTTTAGTATTATACTATTATCCAAAACCACATAGAAAGATGACCATTATTGTTCTGAAACTTATGCAAAACCACAATAAACTAGCACAAATGGACTATGGTGTTGAAAAATATAATTAGTCTTAAGGGGCTGTGATGAACCAGAAATCTGAGGCATCAAACGAACTAGAAAAAAAGTTGTGTCCAAAAGTATGGCGTTCAAACCTTGAAATAGCAACCGGAGGAAATTTTTGTTAACATTTGACCTTGTGTGATGTTCAGTTCCTACTATTCCAAGCCAATAATTCCATGCAACCAAATGCATCTTCGGAATTACGGAAATCACATCAACAGGAAAATGAATCCAAACTGACCGGTTTATGAAATTTTGACAAATAGATTAATACCCAAAAACTGATATGCTCATTGCNAAATTACGGAAATCACATTAACAGGAAAATGAATCCAAACTGATCGGTTTATGAAATTTTGACAAATAGATTAATACCCAAAAACTGATATGCTCATTGCTNGAATTACGGAAATCACATCAACAGGAAAATGAATCCAAACTGACCGGTTTATGAAATTTTGACAAATAGATTAATACCCAAAAACTGATATGCTCATTGCTGGGCCATTAGGAAATTGAACAAGACCATAAATCGGAAGCCAAACGTAAAAAAAAAAAGATGGTTTGGTCATGATCAAAGAAAGCTGACAGAGGCATCGGTTCAAAAAAGTGAGAGAATTTCTCTGGTACTAAAAGTAGGGGTAGATAGACTCATATAAGCGTATAGCGGCGAACAAGGACTTATATAGTCGACCCCAAATAATTGGGACACAAGCCTTGGTTTGATTTGGTTTGGTAATAGATCCATTACTCATCAACTACAAACAAAAAATCGACTAGGGATTTCAAAACCATGAAATCCATCAATTCGAAACACTAAAAATGTATATCAACAAAATGAAGTTTTGCAAACTCTTAACTCAAAAACAAGAAATGAATATAAAGATACGGGAATTTAAACAGAATTGGGGTTTCTTTGAGGGAGATTACTTTCGTTTCTTCCTCCAAGCCTTCTTCTTGCCACCAGTGGCACGCCTCTTGTGCATCGAATCCCGAGAGATACCTGTAACACATCAGGATTTTTTTTTTCCAAATTAACATCAAGAAGATATGAGATTGCCGAAGAGAAGAGAGAGAATGTAGACGAAATTGATTGATACCCATGGTTGCAGACGGTGGATTCTAGAGGTTTCTGTGCCTCGCGCGCCCCAGATGCCAGCTGAGAAGTGAAGGTTTTGCACGTGAAGGAAGTGAAAGATAGTGGCGAGCTTGGTTTTTAGTTACACTTCCTTGTCAAAACCCTAGTTATTCGAAATGACGTTTGTGTCCTCCACCTTCTGTAGAAAAGGCGCTCTTTTGTCCCCTATTGTAACGGTGTCGTTTTCCTTTTCTAAATATACCCTCGCTTAAATGTAGACGTGTCTATATATGACACGGCTTATTATAATAAGGTTTGAATCACCATTAAATCACATGCTTCGAGTGGATTTAATTCGACACGATTAATAAATAAGTAGAACATAATGAAAGTAATTAAAAANGTATTATAAAATTTGAATCACCATTAAATCACATGCTTCAGAAACGGATGGATTTAATTCGACACGATTAATAAATAAGTAGAACATAATGAAAGTAATTAAAAAAATATAGTATATAATTCGTTTATATATTATTTATATACAATTCAAAAATGATATAAACTCGATATAATATAATTTTTTAAATATAAATTAATAAAATAATTAAGTGTAAATAAAATATTTTTTAATACGACGAATCCGATAGAATTGATGAGCCCGCTTAAATGTAATCCAATATTAAGCCCAAGCCCAGTAGACACTGACTTGTTCAATGACCAAAATACCACTAAACAAATTTTTGAAATTGCTTTCATCTACCCCTCTGCTGGTTTACATCAATGAGCTTTTATCACTTTCTGCAATAATGGCACCAAGCAAATTAGAACCCTATTCCTTATCTCTCTAAAGTTCCTTTGTAATCTGGTGACAATTTGCAGGTTTACACTATGAAGACAAGTAGCAACCTATAATTACAATTAAGGACAATACCCACCTCATGATGTGAACCAATCCAATTTCAGAATTAATGCAAAAGACCAGTCTCTCTGCTACATTTGGAAGATTCTGAAAATGGGGTTTTCTCTGGCTGGTCCGTTGGGTGTTCATGTATCTCTCAAAATTCCTCTTCACAGGACTGTAAAGTTTCCAACTTTCAGTGAGAAAAGAGTAAATTTCAAGTTAACAAAGGCTGAGCCTCAACCAGGAAGGTTTTGTTGCTGCAAACTTGATTATGTTGAGTTTGAAGAAAGAACAAGCCCTAATGAGGTATACCCAAATGCTTTATTGCTGCAAATTTCAGTCTTTCTATCATGTTTATGTGTAGGGATTATGTTATGTTTAGTTGTATGATCTAGACAGTTTTATGCCATTTTGCTGTGCTATATAAAGCTTAAATCTGTTGGATTTGGACAGAAAAAAAGTGTCAATTTTGTATTTCTATTCAAGTTTGAATCCTTATGTTTCGCTTTTGGGCCTATAGATTTGTATGTTAATTTGTAGTCTGCCAAGCATGAATTTATGGATTGAGGGACAATGGGAGGCTTCTTCTGCTGGTATGACTGCAAAGGTGAGGCAATCAAAATTGCACCAAAACCACTTCAAGGGCAAATATTGTGGCTCATTCTGTTTAGCAATTTACTGTTTAGTGGGGTGCCTGTTTAGAATTTGTGCTTTTGGCTTATTGTCTTAGTGGTGGGGAAATCTCTAGAAATTCCAGTTAGATCACATAAATGTGCTTAGCTTAACGCACCATCCTCTTTTCAATTCACATAATGGATGCTTATGACCTTGTATTGAAGGGCTCTGATATTATGTTTTAAGTAAGTTCTGACTTCTGAACCAGCCTTCACTCGTCGCAATTGTTGCGATCATAAACCAATATTTGATCCGAAAGAAGTGTCTCCCTGCTCCCCCCCAAAACACCCCACCAAAACCCTAAGACGACCCAACCCCTTAAAAACATATTCTTTTTCCATATATGCTATCATTTAGAAACTTGCTCTAGCTTATTAGCCAACCAGCCATTTATTGTGGTTATATAAGCTACTTTACCATTTTCGAAGGATATGTATTAATGTAGATTTGTCAAATTGCAGGTCAAGCAAGAAATAGAACAATGCTATGAACTCATACACAGGATTGGGAGGGGTGTTGTGTACTTGGGTTCTTCAAGGATGGGGCCTAACCATCCACATTACACACAAGCACTGGAGTTAGGCAGAGAGGCAAGTTGCCTCATATTACATCATCCTTTCTTACTTTCCCCGACCGAAAAATATTCATAGGGTATTAGATCTGTATGCATGTATTGGTGTAACCACTTACGAGAATACTGTTTAAGTGCATGCAACTCAAATTATGAGAATATTAAATTCTAATTTTTCGGATCCTTGAATTTGCAATGATTTAATTTGGGGCTCTTTAATTGTCATAATAGTAGGTTGCAACCCTTTTGGACTGTGCCTCATGGTCAGGGGCTGGGCCTGGTCTCATGGATGCTGCCACTAAAGGGGCTTTGCAAGCAGGGAAGCCAGTCGGGGGACTTAAGATAGGTAAAGAAGCTGGAGAGTGGGTGGCCACAGCGTTCCATCCATATCTACCTTCAGAGACTTATCTTACTTGCCGGTAAGACTACTAGTTGCTGAAAATTTTATGAACACTTGGGAAGCTGTCCAGATTTACAATTGCTTCAGCAAAATGCAGGTTCTTTTCTGCAAGGAAGCACGGATTGGTGGATGCTGCTGTTAGGAGCAGTAGTTCTGATAGGACAGCTGTAATTGCTCTCCCTGGTGGGATTGGCACTCTAGATGAGGTTTTCGAGATTCTGGCATTGATTCAACTGGAAAGGATTGGATCTTTACTACCAGTTCCCTTTCTTTTGATGAACTATGATTCTTTCTATTCCAAGCTGCTAGACTTTCTTGATGACTGTAAGGACTGGGGTACTCTCTCAGACGGAGAGGTTGCATCATTGTGGAAAGTCTGTGATAGTAACTCAGAAGCTCTGGCGTATTTGGCAGATTTTTATGATCTTTCTCATGGTGACCAAGGTACGTGGAGACAAATTCAGATAAAGAAATATCTTGAACTACTGTTTAATGGCTGTGGGCTTGGTAATACAAATTTCTGTTCAACTTGCTTGTTTGGTACGATGAATTCTACCCCTTTTTTCTCCATTTCTTAACTTCCTTTGAGGGTGCTTTAATGTGCCCCTTTTCAATCCAAAAACCACTTTAAGATGGGAGAGATTTGAGACCCCTCTAGAAGTTGAGTGTAGCCAAAATTTAGACCTGCCTCCACCTGCACTCATTTCATTCTTCTAAGAGCTTCCCTGTTTTCTTCCTCAGTTCATTTTGGAAGTGGATAGTTTACCTTAGTCTGATGCACATTCAAACAGCAATTCATTTATTTTGCCCATGTCTGTTGTACCCCTAGCCAGTTTCATTCCCTAAATAAACTCTAACACTCAAGAAACCCACCCTACCATCACAAGTAGAAAGTTATTTGCAGAAAAGTTGCTTGAAAAAAGAAATGGTGGGACACCCATGATTGTTGTTTGGCTATTCATTCACTAGTGTTGTGAGACACAGAAGAAGCCCTTTCATTATTTATCTGCACTGAAGTTACAGAACCTCATTACAAATATACAAGTAGTCTAGGCTCACACTAAGAAAGCAAGTTTTTTAAAAGTACATCTATGAACAATTAGAAAATTGTCCTTGTCAGGTTGAAGAGAACTAGAGAAGGCATCTTTTGATTTAATAAGGAAGATAGTGTCAAAGAAGTGTGAAGGAGAAATAATGTTGTTTCTCTTTTAAGAAGTGTGTGCCCAGTGCTGATGCTGCTTGGTGCTTCTGAGCCCCGAATCTGATACAATGCAGAAGAACCTGGAATGCAGCTGCTGTGAAAATTTTTATAACTTAGTACATCAATTGTGGAATCACACATCTAATCATGTATAACTCATGAGTTATCTAGTGTAATAAGACACTCTTTCCAAAATTTCTATCATATGTAAGGGTAAGTTTCATAGAATGTCAGAAGAGCTCTGTTCCTTCCTCAAATTAGAATATCTGATACCTTGGTAGGAGGTGTGATTATGCCATCCATGTTTATGTGCTCCCTAACATTGTGGTAAACAAATGCACAGAATCAATCTTTCACAATTGCATGCTAGCTAGCACATACATTTAATATCTTTCAATATATTAGAGATAGCCAGTACCTAAAAACTCAATATAAAAACCTCAAATTTCTCCAAACAGACTTGAAATTACCAAAGAATAATGTATATCTCCAGTGCTATATAGCTTTGCATATTTGAATAGCCTCTGAAAACCTACAGTTGAGGAAGCCATTTTATACCACTTCACATCAAACTGCAGCAGCCAGCGCCTTCATCGGCTAGGGGCGGGGATGAAGGTCCTACCCGGTACGAAAGTCTGGGCCGAGGACGGGTTCCATATCCTCTGTGATGGAGGTACCTATGGTCAGAATAGTAGTTGTTTCCTCCATATCCTCCATTATAACCAAGTCCTCCATATCCATGGGACCCATAATTCCCACAGTAACCATTGTGGCCGTAGTCATAGTAATCGTTGTGATCCGGCGGCATATACAAGTTGCTAGAACATTGCCCAAACTGAAACCAACAAACCTCTGCTCTTTTCCCTGCCTTTGCTAGTATCTTTAGAAGTAAGCTCGGATCCACTGTCCCTGACACTTCAACCATTCCCTCTTCATTCATTCTGAAATTTGATACTCCTGAGGAAAAACAAAAACAAAAACAAAAATACACATGAAAAAAAGGGCCATGGGTAAAATCAAGAACAGTTCATTCAAGTCATGACCCACAAACTCCACACGAAAATGTATACGAAATTAATAGATGGGGTTTAACTTAAAAGAGTTCAGACAGTAAATGGCTGGACCTGCTAGAAGAATTAGCAAAAACTTGGTTTGTATATACAACATAAACTTAACACAATACGAATCTAACTATACGATTACAAATGGGTTGAATATAAATCAATTAAATTTTGACATGACACGATTTACACATCACGAACTATTAATAGCCTACTGAAATCCTTGCAAAATTTAAGAAGATAACGATTAAAAGGAATACAAGTATTATTGATCACAAAAGCATGCGGTCAAAATCTAACCTACCGTTGGTGTTTTTGACCACTCCTGCAACCACCTTTTGCCATCCTGAACTGCTGACATTCACTCTTAGAACACAAGTCTGCAAAAAGTATGATACATGAAGAACAAGATTTATACTGAAAATGGAGAAAGACAAGAAAAAAAACAGCAAACTAAAGAAGGAAAAGGGTAGAAAACTAATGGGTGTGTGTCGTAGTATAACCATGAAAGCAGAGTTTTCCTCTTTCACTTGACGAAGTCCAAGGGCGGCCATTAAAACCAGTGTTCGAGTTTGAGGGTTTGAATGCTTTTGGGTGTAGGCAAAGAAGTTTGAGAGAGAATTGAGAAATGGGTATGAATCAAGGATTTAACTACTGTTAAGGAAGGTGTTAAAATTAGTGTTGTGAAAAAGATACTTTGTTATATATTGAAGGTCTGATTTGATGGAATTCCCATTTTCCATTCCTAACATCAGACTTTTATTACTTCCTTAAGATCTCTCTCTTGATATAAAAGAAATAAATTTTACTCAAAAAATTATGATACGATTCTCTATCATTTCCTTATACGGTTTGTATAATGCTTATCCAAGCTCAACGAGATGTGCCATCCTCGGGATGCTTTACTCCTAACCCCAGAAGTCGATGAAGTCAATCTCCGTCTTCTCATCCAAGATGACTCAAAATGAGGAGGGGAAGGCTCGGAGAGCTGCTGAATTAGCTCTGCTGGGAACTTTTTAGAGAACAATTCTTGAAATTGCTTCAAGCATCAGATTGTCCTCAATTATAGTGTTGATTTCCGAGGGTAAAACATCTTTGGTCTTAACTGACAAAATCGCAACGTGATTGCNAGATTGTCCTCAATTATAGTGTTGATTTCCGAGGGTAAAACATCTTTGGTCTTAACTGACAAAATCGCAACGTGATTGCTCAGGCTGTGGAAGCTACCGAGTATGCATTCAAAATAAAATGTATCATATATGGCATGAACAGAGAGTACACTGCATTACCATAGGAGCAATGCTATTAGACCCTAATTTGAAGATCTAGTTTGAAAACTTGATGCATCACAGCCTGGATTTAGAGTGATTTAACATGCCGTGGGGTTTGGATAGAGAGTGGATCCCAGAACTGAAGGAGGTTTACGGTCAATCTAATAGCCACCATACATCCCCAAACTAGTTCATGGTACAAATAGCATTATTGCAACCACAAGTCGAGGCCAGATTTAAAGAAGAAATTGAAGTTTTCAAGCAAACGCTATGATTTTCATGGTTGCTCCATATAAAGCAGGCCTTTACATTGCATATAAGTAGGAGCTTATTAATGCATTGCAGTTTGCTCAGTCAGCCTCCAAACAAGTAATAACAAACCAAGACATAAGATTTAGGATCTCATACCACCAGAAGAAGTCATGTCACATAACTCGCATATCATCATTATTAAAAATAAGTTTTAAATATTACTACAATCTACAAAGCACTTTTTTTCCAATATTCTACAGAAGACTGCAAAGCATAACCGCTCTCATCCCTGATTTACTAGAAAGAAAACCGATTGTTGCCCCTGCTGCGCTTCCTTACAGATTGGCAGAAGTAAGAGAAGGACTCCTTAAGTTCATTTGGAAGAGGGAATGCCAACGGAGGAAGTACACCATAGTTCCTACTTTTAATGCTCATGGAAGACGGATGCGCCAGTGCAGGCTGCTGCTTGTTAAGACCTTCAATGATAAATGAGAATGCCCCAAAGGTGAGGCAGCTTTGAAGCAGAGCCTGAGGAGCGCCTGGAAACCATCAACGGTAAGGTCAAAGCTCAAATCACAATGCCATGCATAAAAACATGGCATTAAAATATTGAAAGTATCCTTGAACCAAATTCTACTCAGCTGGATCAAGATCCCAACCTCTTACAATCTGAGCACCATCCTATTGGTCTATTCTCTCCCTTTTATCATAAAAGCTTTAACATACCTTTTTTTTTATTTTTTTATGAAGTTATGATAAGGTCGATCTGACATGTCCCACCCCAAATCTAGGGTTTCTAGACATGTTTTTTTTAAGTTTTAGCCATGAGTCTTAAATTTGGCCAACCAGTCATCAATCCTAGGACAAAATGAAATTCAGTGACACACAAAAGGACAAATTAAAAATTCAGAATCATATGGCAAAAGAAATGTATAAATTAGAAAACTTGGCAAAGAGTACATAGCAACAAACTCCATGGTTACAAGCCTTTCATAATAGAACCTGGGAAGGAAGAAGAAAGGAAATATTGAGAAAAGTCAAGAAGATGGTAATCGAGAACAATGAAAGGAATTTCCAAGTCTGAAATCAGACATTATTTTCAGTATCCAAAATTGAAAAATATGCTGACATTCAAATTAAATGAGATAAAGCAGGCCAAACATTCTTATAAATATAATGACTACATGTTTTAGTGGAAAAATTCAAGTATAGTCGTCAAGATCATGAACGGTGAACCTTGTCAAGGTAATGAGAACGTATGATTCTTCCAAAGATGTCATAGTATAATATTTTGCTTCTCAGTGAGTACCTTATAAAGCAATATGGTATTGTTTACAAGGGACTGATTTATATAGAGGCACAGGGTCAATCATGCTTGAAATTGAAAACACAAACTTGAGTAACGAATAAACTCAAAAGCACGTGATGCCCATGTGTTGTATTATTAAGATAATAGAAGGTTCAAGTACCTGGAAAACTTAGAGCAAGACCTGTGCAACATCCGGCCACTCCAGCATTAATAACTGTAAAGGAAGAATTCAAGTTTCAGTGTCATGGAAAGATCATGTTAGGGTCCAGTTCTTCAACTGAGATTCCATACCGTCATCTTTTCCTCGCAGCCTCTTCAAAAAGCAGACAACCAAACTGTGAACTCCAGACAAAACTGCAAATGTCTGATAGGGGCAGAGTTAAGTCAAAGAGATCTCACATTGAAGCTAGATGACAGAAAACCTATAGTTGAAGGGTTTGAGAAAGTAGGGGGAAATGTGAAAAAGAAGACAGCACTAACATTTCCCAATGTTATAACATTCAAGGATTTCTTACTTTGGCAGAAGATCCTGCCTCTGAAAAGGATCCTCTAAAGCCCTTCTTCTTAATCAATCCTGAACCTGATACAATAGTTGGCATAGGCATTCTTCAGCACAACACCACAACAATAGAATGCAAAACAATCATAGACCATGGCTGGCTTGTTGTTTATGACGAAGTTGTCCCAATTACATTACTATATCCACAAAGTAGTTATCTATTATGAGTACTGTAATTAGAAATATAGATATAATTACCCCCATGTCTCCGTCAACATCCTAAGCAAAATCAATATGTGAACCTTGGAATTCATTTAAAGCTTGTAAAACTTTTACTAGACTTGTTATGCTTAACAAACCAAATACATAGAGTTGCAACTCAAATAACCAAATTACCCTGCCCTTTTCCCTCTCTTTAATCTTCTTCTTTGTCAGGCAAAATTTCGCACCACATAATACAGAGACAACAGACTCCAGCAGTCTATAACATAAAATTCAAACATCCAGTCACATACTTCACCAGGATGGGAAAAGTCCCCAAGCCCTTCCAAGCATATAAGAGAGGGAAGAGTAAATTATCTTGTATGTGCAATCAAATCCAACAAATAACATGAAAAATCTGGCATGCACAAATCCTATCTCCACTTCCTCCCACACCTCCAGTTCAGAACAGTTCTATGCTCAAACCCAGTTGTTTTCTAATCTTATTAGTACCAACAAGTAGCCAGAATTTCAATCCATAACACAATAATTGGTTAACTTGAATATTAAAATTCACCCCAAAAATATTAAATACCAGTACAGAAAAACAACCAGATAGCCAAGCTAACCCACTAAAAAACCTCAAATTAAAAGAAATCGTCAAAAAAATCCAGATGAAATTGGCAATATCAAGGCTTCGCAACAAGAAAGGAAAACAAACAAGTAGAAGAAACAAAAACATTAATAGACAAAAAAGGAACGAGGTACGATGTTGTACCTAGAACTTCAAAATTCACCAGCAAAAAAACCAGCATTGATACACAACCAGTATAACCAAACTAACTTCACACATTTTAAAGCAAACCCACTACATTTACCAAAGTATAACAAATTTGCCACACCTCACATTAGCATTGACTTCAATTTCCCAGCAAAATTTATTTACCATTTTTTACATTTCATTAAGTCGCAATCATGGTGAAATTTCACAAAGCATCAAGTCCAAACAGCCATCTAGACGCAAACTTTAACAATATTGAGAAGAAAATAAGAAGAAATAATCCAAGACAGCAACTACAAAACACATTCATCCAAAAAAACAAATAAATAAGGGTGTCTCTGAGTGAGTGAGAACTTACCGTATCCGAAAATAGAGCCCATGAAGGCGCCGGCAGCGGAATCGCCGGCGAATCTGAGGAGGCAAACTATGGGTGAACTGGCCGAATTGGAGGTGGTTAATGCGTCTGAAGTGAAGTTAGGGCTGGAATTGGGGTTAGAATTAGAACTGCTTTCGATTTCGGTATCGGAGTCGGAGTCCTGAGAATTTGCCGGCGACGCCATCTCTATCTATTCCAGCCCTAAGAACTTCGCTCAATCCGAACAAGCATCTTTTAGGTCCCATTTTATATTCTTGCTTTGGAGAGATACCTGGGGGATATACAAGTGTAAACGACATCGTTTGATTGCACAAATACATCACGTGAGCTACTCATAACCGGGGATACTTCCCTCTCCGCCACGCTCTAATGTGTGAAGGGTTTACTTGCGGGTAAATTACATTTTACCCCTTTAAATTATTACTATTGTTTTATTTTCTACGTTCAACTATAAAATTTCTCATATTATACCATAAAATATCAATTTTATTTCATATCATTCTACTAGATAACGACTGTCAATTTTTTTTACAATATCTGCACATATGAATGGCCTACACACTGCCAATAAATTCTGACCATTAATGATATGATTAAAATTTTGAATTTCTCTTCATTTAATATGAGTTTGAGTATATCGTTGAAGAACGTTTTTTGAATTTTTTATTCAAA